AGCGCAGCCGCCGCCGCCGCGGCTGGGCAGCCCCCCGGCGGCGCCCGCCGAGCCCCCAGAGGAGGAGGAAGACGAGGAAGAGGAGGAGGACGCCTTCGCCGCGGTGCAGGTGCCGCCCGCCGCCTTCCTGGGCTCCGCGGTGGCGGGCAGCCGCGGCCGCCTCAACTCCTTCACGGCGGGGGTGCTGCCGGCGCCCTTCGGCCGCACCAGCCCCCAGGGCAGCGCCGGCGGCAGCGGAGAGCTGGGGCAGCCCGGCCCCGCCGCCGCCTTCGAGCTGCAGCGGTCCCGGTAAGCCGCGCCGCGGGGATGAGGGATGCGCGGGATGCGGGGATGAGGGATGCGCAGGATGGCGATGGGCTCGGGAAGGGCGGGCACGGCCGCCGGGCGGCCGGGGGAAGCCGTGGGTAGGGAGGCCCGATAGCCGCGGGGCGGGAGCCTCCCTCCGCGGGACTGCTGGGCGCTGCGCTGCCGCTCKGCCGGGGGAGCTGCAGCAGCGGCGGGGATGTGCAGGGGCAGGTCAGCGGAGGTGCCCGTGCTCCCGCTCTGCAGCAGTCAGTCCGTCTATCGTTCCCGCCTGGGCGCGAGTGGCTGAAAGTTTCTCTCCTGCTCAGCAGTGCGGGCGTGCGGCTGCACAGCCGCCGTGCCCCGCCGCAGCCCAGCCCAGCTGCGGAGCGGCTGTCACCCGGCTCTCCCGACCGCTGCTGGATTCAGCGCGCCGTGCTGCCTGTCCTTTAGACAGCTGGCTGGGACTCAGCCCTGAGTCAAGTGCGCTGTAGCCAGGTCTGTAACCCACAAGGGGGAAGGAAATCTTTGCATCGAAATCCACGGATTACGGTGCGAGCGCATGGTTTAAGCGTCTCGTTACCACCCTAAATAAGCTCTTTATCTACAAGCACTTTGTGTTCYTCTGGGTCGTTTCTTGCCGCCGGGTACTCTTGCCTTTTAATTCCCAAAGGAACAGCCTCACCTGCTTCAGCTCTGAAGCTGAGACTTTTGGCTAAGAGGGTGCAATCCCGTAAAAATGTGTGAATGCCTATGGATACAAAATCACCTTCCTTCACTTCCTCAACAACTCAGATATCAAAGACGGAGGGGGGGAAAAAGCAGGGAAAAAGCTGGAGGAAATGACTATGCTCCCCAAGCCCACATCGGCAGCCACTCCCACATTCCCCATTTGCCACACTCCCTCCTTGTTTCTCCCTTGGACAAATAGGTAGACTTTGAGTCACATGTTATTGCAAGGGTTTATAAGGGTAATTGAGCATAGATCGCTGTAGAAAAGTCTCTTTCAAAACCAACCAGCTTGGAGAAATTGGAGGTATTCCAGGAGAAAGTTATCTTAGCTGCATGCCCCACTGTTGCTTGGTTTTTTTTCCCCCTTCCAACTGGGTTGTATTGGTGTCTTTTTTGAGCCCCTTTTCAGGTGCTGTTCCCCTTTCCAAGTCAAATGCCTGCGGGTGGGTTACCACCCTTCTCCCAGTCCTGTGTCTCTCAAAACATTTTCTGCAGTGACAGCCCTCTAATTACTGTGTGGATCAGCAGCACAGCAATGTCACACACACACACACACACACGTGCATTTTGTCTGTGATGTGATTCTGTCCCCACATCCTTGTGGGTGAGAAGTGACCCACAGACCATGATTTGGGATTTGCATTTCTACTCCTGAACTTCTTACTTAACGTTTAGGAGACTAGATTCTCTCTGACCATCTACATAGTGGGTTTATTATTGATGCAGGATTTCAGTGTTACTTTTCTGGATTCCCAAGGTTCATCCTTGGTTTTCCTTTCTTGCATGCTTTGATCCTGTGCTCCGTTCTGGGAAGGATGCTCACTGTTACCACTTCACTGAGCTCTTCCTCTTGCAGTCATTTTTTCCCATTGCCTCTGTTTGCCACTTTCTGAATGTTTTCCTCCACAACACATGTTTTGTTTTGTTTTTGAAATTACATGACAACAGAGTAGAGTTTAAGAGGGAAAAGTAATTACTGTTCTTGTTTACAGCTTAGAAATCCAGAGTCTTGCAAGTTCAGCAGTGCTGCTAGCACRCAAACAAACTGAATGGATAGCGCAAATCTACGGCAAGGGAAGTCACCTAAGGAAACCTTGCCAGGATGCTCCTCCAGTCCTGTAGCAGCTGTCATTTGTGCTGTTTATTTTKCTAGTGATGCAGGCTGCAAGGAAAGTTCTGGTTTTCTCATGCTATTTTGTTTTCTTGAGAGCTAGATTCACCTGTGGTGGAGTCCTTGCATTACTCCACTGATGAGTCAAAGGCTCTCCATTGTAGCACTTGCTTAAGGCTGGCACTGGTGTGGGAGAGCGCTGGGTAATGTCCCTGCCTTTGCTGGCTGTCCTGATGCTGCACGTGTGCCTGGAGACTTTTGGTCTGCCTGTGTCTGTTCTGGAAAGGGTATATATTTWTATATATATARATATATAAAAGGTATATATTTTTATCAGGAAGGAACAGCTGTGGACCATGGAGGYTGCACAGAACGTTAGTGCCTCATCTTCTTAGTGAAAAGGTGTGGTAGGGGCTCTGACTGCTGGGTTCACTCTTGGCTGCACAGAAGATAAATCACAGGCGTGCACCGAGCTGGCACAAGCCCAAGAACAGAGGGTTCGAGCAGACCTTCTGCTGCTCTCTTAATGGAGAGGAAGGAGCCAAATCCCCAGCACAAAGCCAGTCCTCAGGGCGACAGGGTGAAAGTCACAGCAACTGCCCAGAGACAGGCATTAGCTTACCTGAAGGATGATGCAGAGAGGAAAATCAGATTTTTTTGGTAGTTCATGTGTGCACCTGCTGCCATTCCTCTCACCWTTCTGCTCTCCTTGCAGTGATGTTGAAATTGAGTTTGCTGAGTTATCTGGCAGATTAGTCCTCTTAGTCCTCTGTGTTGAGACAYGTAAGTTTTAATGTGAAAGCTTTTTCTGTTACAGTATCAGGGAAGACAGGTTGCCTGATGTTATTTTTATTTCGTTTTCAGAAACCATTGTGAAGGTATAATCAGAGTTCCCTGGCTTTTTTGTTTGTGTTAGCAGTTTGTATAATTGCATACTAGTTTATGTTTAACAAGGTTATCATTAATGTGGTTTGGGTTTGTGCTTCATGTGTATTCACAAGAAACAAGCGATGCAAAAAAAAGAACATGGAGCTTCTAGCTGCTTAGAGGCTAGTATGTAATTATATGTAAATGGCAAAAAATAGGCTTGTTCAGAAATTGGCTYGTTTGTGCCAAAGGCTCCTGTCTAATGCAGGAGGAGTTTGTTTCAATTTGTGGTGAATAGGTGGATGAGGACTTGAGTTTACTAGAAGCTAGGGCCAGGGTTTCTTTTGTGTCAACTTATAATTCATTTTAATGGCATAATCTTAAATTAATGGGGAGCTCTGTGAAACAAGGTTTCAGCGACACTGGTTTAAAATAATTTCACATCCTGTAGATTAGGTGATGGTCCCAGGTAGCTATTTTTTGTGTATGCCTAGAATTCTTGTTGCCATAGTTTTGCTATGGTAAAAGTATTGCTGTTTCCATATGTGAAGTTTCCAGTGGGCTGGGTGGTTAGGAACGAGCACATGCTTTTTTTGGTGGTGTTTGGTTTGGTTTTGGGTTTTTTTTTTTTCTGTTTTGCTAAGGAAGCAAATTGGTGATTTGATTTGGAGTTTAAACATTGCTTAYAGTTGCATTTGTCTGTGGTGCTGTGTCAGATTTGAAGGCAGATGGGCAGGAGAATTCCTTCTGGGAGCAGCAGGTGCTGGGAAGCAAGGAGAGAATAACTGCTGAGTAATCAATGGGGAGAGGTCCACTCAGAAGGATGCTGAGGTTATCATGGTCCAAACAGATTTTTTTTTTCAGAATTTACTGACCTACAATAAATCTCATTTCCTGAGTAATTTTAAAATTAATTTACAGGTAGTAAAGCTTGTGAAAATTCAATTTATTTTTCCCTATTAGAAAAGACAGAGATGCATTTGGCCTCATTATTTATCTTCTGGAGACATGCAATGAAGGGAGATGCTGGAATGGTTGACTTSCCTGACTTCTGTAGGACTTGCGAAGTTCCATGGGTTGGTAGTGCTGGAAGAAGCCTCCAGGATGTCGTTGAGGGGCTGAATCCTGCCATCTAGTACTTGTGGTAGAAGGCTGAGAGGTCAGAATCCAGTTCTCCATGGCCTTGGGCAGGCAGGCAGTGTTGTTTCAGCCCACAACAGAAGAGGCCTCCAAACTGAACAGATGAGAGACAAAAGAAGAGTCTCTCAGAAACCAGTGTCTTAGAGGCAGAGTCCTGAAAGGGGAGTTGAACAAAGAGGTGGGGGCACCCTCCACCCCGTGGGGTCATCCCAGCATCAGGAGTTGGCTTGTGAGCTGCTGGAAGCACATCAGACCTTTTGTGTGTGATGGACATTTGGCTATTCACTGAGCCTAAAGCCCTTCAGGCAGCCTGAATTTCAGAATGATGTATACAAGCATAGCATGAAAACAGCAATTTAATGGTCTGAGAAGTCAATGGGAAGTGCACTTGCTAAACTAAGTCTTTYCTTAGGTATGTGACCTTGTGTACCACTGATAGCTGCTGCCTCTAAAGAAGGGGATGCTTATTGACTCCAGCTGTCACTTCAGGAGGCTAAATGGCCATCCTGTGCCACCCTGAAGGGGGAATGTTCAACAGCAGGGTTAAGACTTGCGTAATAAGGGCTGTTTCAGTAGTAGCACATGGTGTGCGAGCTCCTTCATGAGTCGTGTAAGGGACACTGAGCACACCCATGTCCTTCAGCACGAGCACACGGAGAGGCTGGGTCCTCACGCTCACTTGGAGCRGTGCAGGGCACTCACTGATGCTGGTGGGTTTTGTGAGCTGTGCACGTGGTGAGCATGGTCAGCTCCACATCACATGAGCTGACATTCTTCACCACTGGTCTCTCTCTGCCAGCCTTTTCCCTTGTTCAGAATGCAGAGGTTTGTGCTTCCCTCTGTTGCTTCCTTTGAAACTGRTGGAAATGGAATCATCTTCCAGATGTTAGTTGAAGTTGACTGGTGGTTGAGAAGTCATTGTAGTATGATGATGCACGGATGGATGGACACCATACATGCAGAACAACCTTGTTGCCTTWCTACACAATCTTTTAAAAACAAATCCCACAGAAATTTGCTCTGGCATATTTTAGGCTCTTATACTATTTAGCAAGCATCTCTGTCAGATAAAAAACGGTTAATATTCATCAGGCAAGGAAAAAAAAAMCCCTTTGCTGTCAATTCAGAAGAGTAGAGCAGTGGGATAGAACATAGT